TGTTGCTGTGATTATGTGTTAATCAGTGGAAGAAATCAGTGTTGAGTCCAACTCACTGAAACCATTAAGCAGCTGTTAGAACTAGATAACAGCCTTATCTCAAGGAATTGAAAGTGGGTTAATGGTTTGTGTTCGCTCAAGCTGCAAATATCTCCAGAAGGACCTGAGTTCCCTTCCCCGCGTCGATAATTCCGGAATTTCCAGCTTCTGTCACTTACCTGCCGGTATTCCTTTGGAGGTAAGGCCCCAGAGCCTTTATCCTGAAGCATCTTGAGCTGCATTTTGACTTGTTTTTTCTTTATCTGGTCGATGGGAAATTTACTTGCTTCGTCCGAGGCAATTTGGTAAAATGCAGACCACGCCTCGCTGGCTATGTTCTGGAGAAACAGTGCCGGAAGATTTCAATCAGATCTTTAGACAGTGAGATTCACACCCATCCCTTTCTGTGTGCAGATGGCACCCCTCACATACCACTCGAAGTTCATGTTGTTACTCAGCAAAAATTTGCCTTTAGATAGCACCATGACACCGTAAAATCTACAGGAGCGCCAGTGGTCCAAACCTGAATATATATATATATAATATAAAAAAACTTTGGAATTAAAACAGCAGTGAAGAAACTCAGCAAGTCTGAGGGTGTCTGTAGAGGAAGAAACAGTGTGAATGTTCCAGTTCTTCAGAACTGAGTTAAGGCTTCATTTCTGAGTGGAGTTATACTGGACTCAAAATGGTAGCTCTGTTTTTCCTCTCTCTCTCTCTTTCTGCAGATGTTGCCAGATCTCCTGAGTTTCTCTAGTTCTTGATGAATTCACTTCAGACTTCCAGCATCTGCAGTATTTTGCTTTTAAAGAAACTGTGGGGTCGTGTCCTAACAGTTGCTGGAAAGGATAGACTTTAAAGAGAATCTTGAGGAGGGGAAAGAGGGCATGAGGGAAAGGTTGAGCTTTCTATACCTTAGGAACATGAATAATTAGGCAAGACTTGAAGGAGAATAGGTATCTCAAAAACGTCATGGGCTGGAGGGGGTTACAGATCTAAGGAGGGAGAAAGTCCTGGATGGACTTGAGAATTTAAAAACTGAGACATTGGTGGGTTGGGACCCAACATAAGTCTGCGATGGGTGAACACAATTTGCTGTGGACTGGATAGCAGCAGAGGTTTGAATGAGCTGAAGTTCAGAAAGAATGTGTAAGAGCAACCCAGATTATTGGAGTAGACCAGTTCAGAAATAGCCAAAGTGTGGAGGATAAGCAGGTAACCTGAGTCTGGGGTGGGGTCGGATAAAGTTAAAGAGTTAGTCTGGGGGCTACAGGAGAAATGGGGACAGAAATTCATCTTTTGTTTTTATTCCCTGGAGGGACATGGGTGTTGTTTGTTGGCCTGCATTTATTGTCCATTCCTTGCTGCCCTTGACCTTGCTGTGCCTTTTCTAATCAGCAGTTGAGAGTCAACCACATTGCTGTGGGTCTGGAGTCACATGTAGGCTAGACCAGGTAAGGATGGCAGTTTCCCTCCCTAAAGGATATTAATGAACCAGATGGGTTTTTCAACAATGGTTTCATGGTCATTCATAGATTCTTGCCATGGTGGGATTTGAACCTGTATCCCCAGACCATTAGCTAGGTTATCTGGATTAATAGTCTGGTGATCATACCATTTGTCCACTGCTTCACCTTCATCCAACAGGAAGCTGAAGAGTTTGGGTCAACCTTGGGAAGATGGATTTGAGTGGCTACAGAATGGATTTCGTGGTAGAAACCAATGACAATAGCTTCAGTCTTCCCGATATCTAAATGGAGGAAGCATCTGCATATGCAGGACGGAATATCGGAAAAGCAGTCTGATAATGGAGGAATCGAGAGAGCCTGTGGTGAGACAGAGTCAGATCCAATTATTGACAGGCCTTTTGCCATGAGAACAGGTTCAAACCTTGAAGTATAGTGGATATTTTTACATTATACTTCCAGAATGTGCTTTTTCTTTTCGTAAGAGGACTGATGCAGTCTAAAATAGCAGCAGACAAACATTTAAGTGGCTTTTGAAGAGTTACCTGGAATGTGATACTCAAACTGTCAAAGTTCAAATGGACTGGTCTGTGATCTCTTGTGAGCACAACAGTAGCCAACAGCTGACACCCCTTGCTCAAGGGCAAGCCATCCCTTGTGTATTTTATCCCAAACTACTAGCACATTTTGTGCTTTTCTTTAAATAACGCACCAAGACAGGAGTTCAATAACCAGTTACAATGGTACTGGAGTAGGTTGGTCGGACTGGACTCTCTCTCGTGTAACTGCTTGTGTTCAAGCATTAGCAGGCTGTGAAGGTCACAGTCAAAGAACTCTCCCCTCGTTATCCCTGTATTGCAGGTAAAAAACATCTTTCGCTCCAACTACCAGCAGGTCAGCTAAATAGCAACCGAACATGAAGAAAACAGGATAACGAAAGGACTGTCTCTCTCTCTCTCTCTCTCACTCTGAATGCTGGAATTGAATCATGGTTACAAAAAAACCAGAGCTATAGAATCTCAACTAATCTTCAATATTTTTAATGCAAAAGATCTGCTGAGTTGCAAACAAAAAAACGAGAAATTAATTATGATTCTTTACAAATACTTTTGATGCAGAAGACCTGCTGGTTTGCAAACAAAATGAGAAACAAATAATGATTCTGTACAGAGATAGTAGGAACTGCAGACGCTGGAGAATCCGAGACAACAAGGTGCAGGGCTGGATGAACACAGCAGGCCAAGCAGCATCATAGGAGCAGAGAGGCTGACGTTTCGGTTCACCTGCACATCTGCCAATGTGGTATACTGCATCCACTGTACCCGGTGTGGCTTCCTCTACATCGGGGAAACCAAGCGGAGACTCGGGGACCGCTTTGCAGAACACCTACGCTCGGTTCGCAA